TGCGATACTCACTGTTATAGAAAATGTTAGAACTTCACAATTTCAAAATTTCAACCTGATACTTATACCGTGTGCGCTAGTCACTATTATAGAAAATCTCAGGATCTCAGAATTTCAGACTTTCAACCTGATACTTATACCGTGTGCGACAACCATTCTTACAGAATACGTCAAAATTTCAGAATCTCAGAATTCAAGATTTTGAAACTTATCCTTGTACCGTATGCGACAGTCACTGTTATAGAAAATGCCGGAATGTCAGAATTCCAAACTTATGCTTGTCCCCTTGCGATAGTCACTGCTATCGAAAATATTAGAATTTCAGAACTTCACAATTTCAAACCTACCCTTGTACCGTGTGCGACAGTCACTGTTGTAGAAAATGTCAGACTTTCAGAATTTCAGAATATCAGAATTTCAAACTTATCCTCGTACCCTGTGCGATAGTCACTGTCATATAAAGTGTCAGAATTACAGAATTTCAGAATCTCAACCTTATCCTTACAGCGTGTGCGATAGCCACTCGCATAGAAAATGTCAGAATTGCACAATTTCAGAATTTCAAACCTATCCTCGCAGTCGGTGCGTAGAAAGTGTCAGAAATTCAGAATTTCACAGTTTCACAATTTCAAACCTACCCTTGTGCCGGGTGCGATAGTCACTGTTATAGAGAATGCCAGAATTTCAGCATTTCAAACCTATCCTCGCACCTTGTGCCTGGAAAGTGTCAGAATTTCAGAATCTCAACCTTATCCTTATGCCGTGTGCGACAGCCACTCGCACAGAAAATGTCAGAATTTAAGAATTTCACAATTATCGTGGTACCGTGTGCGACAGTCACTGTTGCACAAAATGTGAGACTTTCACAATTTCAGAACTTCTGAATTTCCAACTTATCCCCATACCTTGTGCGGTAGCCACTCCTATAGAACGTATCAGAATTTCAAAGTTATTCTTGTAGCGTGTGCGATAGTCACTGTTATAGACAATGTTAGACTTTCGGAACTTAAGTATTTCAAACTTATCGTTGTACCGTGTGCGACAGCGTATCTCATAGAAAATGTTAGAATGTCAGACTTTCAGAATTCCGGAATTTCAAAGTTATCCTCTAACACTGTGCGATAGTCACTGTTATAGAAAATCTCTGAATTTCAGAATTCCAGCATTTCAGCCTGATACTTATACCGTGTGCGACAGTTTCTCTCATAGAAAATGTCAGAAATTCAGAATTTCAAACTTATCCTTAAACAGTCGGCGATAGTCACTGTTATAGAAAATGTTAGAATTTCAAACTTTCAGAATGTCGGAATTTCCACCCTACCCTTTTACAGTCTGCGACAGTCACTGTTAAAGGGAATATTAGAATTTGAGAGTTTCAGAATTTCAAACTAGTTTTTGCACCCTGTGCGGTAGTCTCTGTTGTAGAAAATCTCAGACTTTCAGGATTTCAGACTCATGCTTATACAGTGTGCAATAACTCTTGCTACAGCAAAACTATCTTGTAGGTCATTCAAAATTAACAATTTTCGCACTATACAGTAATATATTCATAACGAAGAAAATGAAGGAATCAGAATTTCAAACTTATCCTTGTACCGTCTGCGACAGTCACTCTTACAAAAAATGTCAGAATTTCAGAATTGTAAAATTGCAAACTAATCCTTATACCGTTTGCGACAGTCACTCTTATAAAAAATAGTTCCGGAATTTCAGAGTTATCCTTAAACAGTGTGCGACAGTCACTGTTATAGAAAATCTTTGAATTTCAGAATATCAGCATATCAACCTGATACTTATACCATGTCCGATAGTTTCTCTTACAGAAAATGTCGGAACCTCTGAATTTCAGATTTTCAGCATTTCAGACTTATTCCTGTACCGTGTCCGATAGTCTCTTTCATAGAAAATTTCAGAATTTCCAGCATATCCTGATACAGTCCGCGATAGTCACTGTTATCGAAAATGTTAGAATCTCAGAGTTATTTCAGACTTATATTTGTACCGTGTGCGATAGTCACTGCTACAGAAAATGTCAGCATTTCAGAATTTCAAACTTATCCTTATACAGTGTGCGATAGTCACTCTCGTACAAAATGGGAGGGCTGAAGGGATGTAAGGTAATAAAATCGGAGATCATGTCGGTGCTTCTGCGGCCTTTGGAGTGCAACGGCTCACCACCTGGGAACTCACACTCTAACCTAAATGATCGACATCTTGTTCCTATTCTTACAAATTTTGCCATGCAGTGTAATCAGTAAAATCGAAGAAAAATCTCGACTAGAATCCTCATTTTATAGACATTCACAAGAAGCTAAATATCAAACCATTTATTCTGATACTCTCCTGTGACGATAACGTTAGGAAATTAGTCATATTTAAGAGAATGAAAGAAATCGCGCTTGACTGTGTTGTATGACGAAACTTGAAAGAATAAAAAAAGATGTCGACCATCCAGATTACATTTCCGTTTCGCAATTCAATGAAAATGCTACGGGAAGAAAAAATATCGGGCCCAGCCAGGAATCGAACCTGGGTCGCTCGCTTCCAAAGCGAACATTCTACCACTGAAACACTGGGCCTTGTATTCGATTATTGAATTAACATCGCTTGTATGTGAACGCGAGAGCAGAAGACATCTGCGCTATATGAACACTATACGCTCGTCTTGTCGACCTCAATAATCTAAGGCCCATAGCTAGCTGTATTCTATCTCCGAATATGGTTACTCATTTGAAATATCTTCAGGGTATGGGTATGGACATTCATTCGCGCCCTCCCCCGTACTAAGCTGTGTACCTTGTGGGTCTTACGGCCTCTCCCGCACTCCGGTGTATGGCCCCTACGACTCTCGCCCTCACCCGCAGTAAAGTGTGTGTCCCGTGTGACTTGCGGCCTCGTCAGCACCCAGCTGGGTGTGTTGTTTGCATTTGCGCTCATCCTTCCTGTTCCTGGTGTTGTACAATATTGGGTGACTCCTAAGACGTACTTAGAAATGCCATAAAGAATCCAAATAGGTATGTGACAGTAAGGGGAAATTGATAGTTGTGTCAAAACATCGTCTGTGGTAATTGCTGGTGATACTGCAAGTGTACGCCATTAGCTACTAGAGATGAATTAGCTAAAGAAGGAGGAAGAAAAGCCTTAAGTGAGTTAACAACAGGAAGCGACAGAGCAGCGCGCGATTCTCTATCGAATAGTGTGTGAAATTTTGAAAACTAAAATTCTGCTCGATCTTTGCCTTACATGCATCTTAGAAAAAAAACTGTTGGTTAGTTTCTATTGGTTAAGAGATCATTCTGACCTTCAATGTGATCAATATTTCTCTTAGTCTCCTCTCTCTTTTGGTTCTCCACAAAAAAACGTCTGTTCCTGCAGTGAATGAGAGAAAATCTTCTCCCCTGCAGGAGTGCAGGCAGGAAGACATTCTTCTTTATCTGCCGGTTGTCAGTGGAAAGATTTTTCATTCACCTGTAAACTGCAAGCTGCCTGCAATGCCTGCGGCTTGTACGCAGTTTTAAATGCAGGTAGTTAGCTCTCATTCCGATCGACCATACAGCAAAACAATTGTCAGGAGACGAAACGCTCAGAAAAAGGCCTATAATCGACCCATCTTGATCATCAAATGAATAATAGGCTCTGCGTGTTAAATAATCTGCGTATTCCACACATTGAGATTAATTGAATTTTGTATATACCTGTTTGTATCGTATATGAAGAGCTGTCGCTGAGTATGTCCCGAGGAAGAAAGGCGGAAGGAATTGATCGATACCCATACAGGTAAATGTCATTACAACACAATACCATACTATTCCAGAAATGTGGCTCTCGGTTGAATTTTAATGTACAACATGGATAAAAAGAGGAGTGGATCGAAGACTAACCGAATTAGACTCAACAAAGATTTTGATAGCCCATACCGAAATGGATGGTAGAAATGTCGTGATTCACGTATAAATGTTTGGTCAGCCATTTCTAAACCAAACAGACGGAGACTAGCCACAAAAACAGCCATTCCAAACCCAAGACTTGTACAAAAATATATACCTGGAAACACCCTAATATCACAGGATCGAGTTTGTTTTCGAAATAGTCTACCGATAACGAGACCGAGAAAGAAGAATGCAAGGTCATATATGAGTGATTCTGGTGATTTTTGTACCGTTTTTAAAAAAATGACCCAAAATGAAAGTGTCCAAGAAAATATTTTATCACTGTAGATTTATAGAGGGTACTTGAAAGTCTAGAAAAAACTGTTTCCAAACTGCTAAGTCCTTCTCAGCCAAAATCCACCAATCCCCCAACCAACGTCTGCCCTATCAACTGCCATCCTTAAAAAATGGTTTTTGACAATTTCTAATGTTGGGCCTCTAGAAATCCAGGTTTTCTGGAAATCCTTTGCTGAGCTGGTTTCCAGAAAACTGAGCCCGCCATTCAATTCAGGGTCTCAAAATACGTATAATCGTATAATATGAGGCTTTATGTACTAGCCAAAACAATTCTAGAGATATGTTTGGGGGTAGGACATTTTGATGTATTTTTCAAATTTCTTCCTTTAGAAATAAGCTGAAGCCTTGCTATTTATAGCATAAGTTGTGCTACCCATTTGACATATATGGTAAAAAAACGAGTTCTCAATTCCATGTAGTTTGGTCAGGGGAGAGTCAAAAGGGGGTGGGACAAATTTGTATGTCACAAGTCACTGGATGTCAGTAAAATGTCAATTACTCAAAAACGAAAAAAGCTAGCAACTTGCGATTTTCAACAATCTATAGTGCCTACTTTGGTAAATCCTTTCATAAAAAAATATTTGACGTAGACTGATACTGAGTAAACTCCTTTAATCTACTTGGAAATTTACCACAAAACATCATCACGTATGTTTGAAACGCCTTTAGAAACTCAGTGAATGATAGAATACGTTTCAAACGCAGACCATGTTGCGTTTTAACGAGTGTTACTGAGCTGCCATCACCGTCCAAATTCGGAGGTTTACCACCGTCTCATGGTACTAACAAACTCGCGAAGTTAACGTACTTTCCGCTTAAAATCCATTCTTTTAGTACGGGGGCAATATAAACAGACCTGTGGTTTATCTCATTGACTGAGATTGATGTTTGTAATAAGACAGTTGAAGCTGATGGAGGTGAGACTGGCAAAATGTCGCTTGCTGTTGTTAACTTACTTAAGGCTTTTCTTAGTTCTTCTTTAGCTAATTCATCTGTAGTGGCTAATGGTGTTACTATGAAATTAGTTGGTGGCGTATTGAATTTATTACTCAAACTTTCATTTGCAGACGAAGTTGGTAGAGAAATTGATAGTGGTGTCAAAACATCGTCTGTGGTAATTGCTGGTGATACTGCAAGTGTTGAAAAGATTGGAAGATTAGATGATATTGCTAATTGTGATTTTGTACTGGCATTTCTGTTAACCAGTTCAAGACTATCATTCTGTAATTTACTAGCTGCTGCTTTGCTTTTATTAGCTTCGAAAAAATCCAAGAATGTGGTATTTGAAGCGTTTGGTGGTGAATTTACGCCTAATAATGATAAGGCTTCTCTAAGAAGTTGATTTTGACGATCATTTTCTAGAGTGTTTTGAGGTGGTTCTGAATTACTGACCAAAGGTACATCACCGGCCTCACATCTTCTTCTCTTCGATCGTGTATTGAATGTTTTTTGAACGCTTAATCTTTTAGACATCGTTTCATGAATTTTTTATGTGAAGAAGCTTAAGATTTATTCAAATAATATGTTTGTTCAAATTGGAGATAAAATGAAGTAGTGCTGTATAATGAAATTGAATGAATTCTTTCTGTCTAAGCAACGCCCTAAAATGGAAAACTAAAAGAGCGCCGCTGTTTTCTGAGCGATATGAATTTGAGAACATGAACTCGATTTAAATCTTTAAATCTCGATTTTACGCAGGAAGTATGGTTTAAAAGGCCTACTATTCTGAAACGGTTATTAAAACGACGTTTTTAAAATTTCCCCTGAGAACGTGCTTAACATTTTGGAACTTTTTGTCCGTTATGGAGTCTGCAGAGCTGCATATATAGATTGTAATCTAACGGTACCAGCACATTAAAGTATTCCACTGAAAAATGATGAAAATGCCCAGAAAACGTCTATTCTGCTGAGAAATGGGATTCCCACAGGTCTAGAAGACCATGCTGCCATTGTTTTAAAATTTTTTAAACGTGATATTCGTCATTAGGAGCTCGAGTTGTACTAGTCTTATTACTGTGGAACTATTGCGATAAAGTCGCTGTTAACTCTGGTACGTTTTCGAAAGAACAACCCATAAGCATATTATAATGACTAATATTATCTTCTCCTATCTTTATTTCAAATGTAACTTTAACTGTTTCCTGCTTTTCTTCAGTATATTAGATTAGTTCCGAAAAATAAATTGAATTACTAATGCCTTCTTAACTGTTAACCGTGTACACAGAGGCGAATAAAGTGCATTCTTAAAGCGGATTCTCCCACCGAGTTTTTTCGGCCAGTTTGTAAAGCACACTTTAAAACATATATTTCAACACTATTTTCGGTTTTGGGATGCGTAGTTTTTAAGAAAATTTCTTTTAGGTTTGTTACCCTATTTTTAGAAGCAATAGGAAATATGTGCAATATAAAATAATACAAAAAACTGTCACTGTGTGTCATTCTCTTTTTCTTGCTTTTAACAGTCATTCCTTTAACGGTTCAGGGTGAGCGTTTTTAAGCAGAAAAAGGCTGTTTGATGCGTACCGCAATGAAGCGATGATATCTTTTCCCCAGGAAGTAAATCATCATTAAGCTTCGTTACGGAAGCCCTGTTGATATGCATTACTGGACAAAGATTTTTCTTACGAAAGCCCTATAAAAATCTATACGACAACCGTGTATCTTGAAGGGAATTGTTACGAAAGCTTAGCCTTTTTTTATATGAAAGCCTCGTAAAAGCTATTTACATGGCTTTCGTATGAAAAAAAGACAAGGCTTTCAAAACGTGACGAATTGGCAGCCACTTCTTATACATGATTTTACTAACTGGAGAAACGTGATCATATTATGTTTCTAATTTCGAAAACGCGGCATATTGAGAAATAGGTATATCATCACATGCGTAAGTGATCACTCTCTTCTTACACTTCTTAAATAGTCTTATCTGATTCATTTCCGGTTTGATTTCTACTTTTGTTACTGTGAACAATGCCGTCACAGTAATAAAATCTTGTTTGACAAAATGTCGGTTAATAAAAACGAAGATTATACTGATATTTGTTTTGGAAATGAAAATCACAGTGTAACAAGAGGGTGAAATTAACATTGTATAAAATTCAAGTACTAGATATTAGTCATTCGTCATGTGAAACAGATGCAGATGAATAGTGAAAAAGCATATGTTTGTTTACTACGGTAGACACATATACATTTTTTTCTTTTCTTTCTCCTGTTCTTTTCTACCTCGAAAAATGCCTAGTGCTGTTCACATACTATGGGTCACTGCTATTTGACTTTTCTTTGTATCCCAGCAGTATGGATTCTAACAGAGATTTGGCAATAAAACAAAAATAGCAGTAATCCTCAGCAGACAGAATTAGACATGCAAGTTGGTCAGAATAGATGAATAGTTGTCAGGCAAGTGTTACTATCATCATTTCCTGTACAAACAGAATTAAGAGAAGCGAATTTAATACAGAAATGTTTCGAATACTGATCTTAAATACTAATAGAAATTGATTTTATGTGAAATAACTCATTTTAGACTATTTTCATCTGATATTAAAAAGTTTGTAATTTCGTCGGAATCCATCATAACGACCTCAAAACTTCAGAAGATACGCTGATTATACACCTAATTCTGGGATAAAAATACCAAGAAATACATTTTATGATGGGTTCTGACGGAGTTATGAATCTTTTAATATGGGATGACAATAGCCTAACATGAATTGTTTCATGTAAAATCAGTTTTCACTAGTACTTAACATCAGTATTCGAAACATTTCTATGTTAAATTCGTTTCTCTTAATTCTGCTTGTACGGGAAAGGACGATAGTTACACCTGCCTGCCATGTAGAAAAAAGTTCACCAATTCCAACTGAATGCACGCTTAGACATAATCCATTAATGATGCATTAATCATTCAATCAAAACAGTGTTGATATTTCACGAAAAAAATGTTTTTATCTGAAGTTTTAACAAAGTGATGAAGGATATGGGCGATCATAGTTATGAGCAAGTTGACGATGATACCTACTGCTGTCGTACCAGAAATCCGTACTGTCTGCTTGTTCGCCACGATTTCATTCAAACAGTCGTTTACTTCGCCATTATTTTTGTGCAGTAAGTCACAAATTAATTTTTAGCTGAAGACATCGATTCTTACCACTTACCACTTTGTTTAATGACAACATCTTGTGAATTGCCCCAGCACTTTACGACACAATGGTTTTTTTCTTTCTGTTCTCTTATTGAGTAGGTTGCCGTGATTCACACACAGTACCATATATATGTTGAAAGACAAGTGTACGATGATCAATCGATATAAGCATAGATTCTTTTTTTTTCCTATCATCACTATAATAAAAAATAAAACGCGTTGAATAAAGTGAGACAGACATGGCTACTGCTGTATCGTATGAAAATCAAACTCAATCAGCTAAAATTCAACAATTACAAACAGATGTTAACGGTGTTTTTGTTCAAATGAAAGACAATTTAGGTAACATTATTAATCGTGGTGCTATGCTTGATGATTTAGAAGGTAAAACAGATGATCTTCAATATAGGGCCGAACAGTTACAAATTGGAGCTCATCGAGTCCAGGGAAAATTTTGGTGTCAAAATATTAAAATGTGGATTATACTTATTACTGTTATTGTTGTAATAATCGTTGTGCTTGTTCTAGCTCTAACACTTACAATAGGAAAGAAGAATAAATAACTACATCAAACTTTGTTTTTCGTGCATTACGGATAGAAATCGCTGAGACAAATCATTCTGATATACAGGAGAGGTAGACGTCTTACAAATTGTACTATATGAACAGCGTTCGCCGTAAGCCCGTAGATATTAAGTGCACAGAAAGCAGACTTTCCATCAAATTTACTTTTGACTTTTTTGTACACCGTTTGATAGAAGGCATTGAGTGATCACGAATATGTACTCTTCGTTTTTTTTGAAGACTTTTTATCCGTCCTAAAACTGGAAAAACTCGAAAGGTATCAAAAACCGAAAAAATGCAACGTTTCAAAAAAATGGACGTAGTTTTTTCGCGTTTTGGTTTCAATGTTTGAAACTAAGTTT